GGTCATGTGAGGTGGTGAAGTGAGGGGGGAGGGGCAGGGGAGGCAATGTGAGGGGGGCCCAGAGCCAGGGGGGCTGTGAGGGGGATGGGAATTAGGGAGGGGGGTGTTGAGCTGGTTCAGGGCTGTGGGGGCAAAGCGGAAGGCCTGGGAAGCCAGTTGGGGCGGTTCCCATGGGGGGGGCTTAGGGGGGAATGAGAGTGGAGCTGAAAGAGGTAGCGGTGTTCCCAAGCGGTGCCCAAGGGCCTCCAGGGTTGCTTCCGTTGCCCCCCTGCACGACTCCCGGGCAGGTCCCGGCTCCCCAGGTCCCCCCATGGGGCCCCCTCAGCAGCACAAGCTGTGACTGACCGGGGTTGTTTTTTTTCACACCCCTGCCTCCCTCCTTCCCCCTCCCCAGTTCCTCTCTCCCACTTGCATTTGAGGTCTAGGATGCGGGGGGTCGGGGCCCCTGATGCCCACACTCACCAGTGGCCCCTTTCCTCCCAGAATTGCTCCAGTCCCATTTTGAGTCAACCCAAACTGTCAGTTTCCACCACCTCTGGTGGTAAGGAGTGCCACATGGCAAGAAAAGAGAGACGTGGGGCAGGACGGGACCTGCGGAGGTCATATCTAGTCCAACCCCTGCCTGGGGCGAGTTCAGCCTTGCCCAAACCCTCCCATGCAAATCTGTAATTTAAACTGTTTGTAAAACCGCCACCCGCCCTGACAGCGCAAGACCTAATGTAACACTTGAATGATGCTCTGCATGAAAGAGCTTCCTTTTGTTGGTTTTAAACTTACTGCCTACTGGTGTCATTTTGTGACGGCTGGTTCTCGTACTGACAGAGATCGGCAGTAAATAATAAATCCCCATTGACTCTCTGTTCGCTATTTAGTGTTTCGTAAACCCTTGTCTTGCCCCCACTTCAAGCGTCTCTTTCCTAAACTGAATCAGCCAACCTCTTTAGTCTCTCCTCATATGGCAGCTCCTTCGTATCACTAATCATCAGGAGAGTTATTCGATCCTACACTGGTGGTTCTGAGCTGGGGTCTTGTCAACCCCCCACCTGCTCATTCAAGTCCAGTGGTTTTCACGTTGAGATCCTCTCATGGGTGCTGGGCAATTTTAGCACTGTTGGGTGCACAAACATGATTCGCAACATAAACCCAGAGATTTCAAAGAGGAAGCCATAGTGTTCAAAACATTTTGCCCCATTGTGGCCTTTCTGAGATCTGTGCAATGGAAGAATTGCTCCATTACTGTTCTCTAGTTTTAAGAAAAAAAAAGATGAGTGAAAACTAGACTTGGCATTTTGTCTATTGAGGGGTGTCTCAAATCTAAAAAGGTTGAAAACCACTGACTTAGGCAGTGCCGAGTGTCTAGGAGTGGAAACACATAGATATATAGCCTGTTCTGAGGCATGGAGGGAGGAAGTGCATTTGTCTTACATCCCCCCAGAGTTTGAATTGGGTCTCCAGGCCCTGCCAGAGGTACAGGGAAGGGCTGAGAGTTGAAGTTAAGGAGTTGGAACTTGCTGTTTAATGGTTGCATATAAGGCAGGCAAGGCTTTCCCCAAAAAAGGCTAATCAAATCATAGATGCATAAGCTTTCATAAGCAGCGGCTTTATCTGATGCTATGAAGGGGCTGCAGGAAGCAGAGTGTCCAAGTAGAACATGTCAGTGTTGTTCTTGACAGCCTTCAAGCCCAGGTAGCCTGCTGTATTGAGGGCTGTATACTCCAGTTCAGGATATGGGAGTCGTCATGTCTGGTGTATTTGTTGTGGGAAGTCAGTTTTAAGGGCAACACTTAAAATGTTCCTGTTTTGAAAAGGGGGCTGGATTCTGTAAGATTTTCCTAGGAGTGGTTCAGTGAGATATTGAAAATGTTAGGCCCCCATGGCTGTCAGCACAATCATGGGCACAGGAGAGTCCTATTGATTTCCTTGGGGCTCTGGGTGGGCGCAAGGCCTGAATTGTGAATAAGGGAAATTGTCGCTGCTGCCCAGAGCCATGAGACAGGATTTAAATCTCCCCATTCATCACATCCCTTTTTTGTTTAGCCCTGCATGCATTATGGACACTTTCTGTGCAGTCAGCAGCATTGTCTGACTTGCAGCTTTTAACACTTCATTTTTCCTGTTGAGTTTCTTTTGTTGTGGAGTAGAAAACTTGTTTCCTAATGAAACAGGTTTTTGCACTTGAAACATTGCTCAATTTTCACTGTGGGCTTAGTTGATTAAGCACTTGTCACATGTTGTTTCAATGCATATAGCTTTTCCTCATTTTCTTTCACAATAGAAGTAGTGTCCTTTCACACTGGAATAATGATTTAAGTGGTAAACAGAGCTTGGTTTCTAATGTAAATACAATTATAAAGTAACTATATATTTTGTGTGAACCTGTTTGTATGCTATTGCTTGTATGATTGTTATTGAAATTATGAAAGGTATTTTAGCAATATACACTTTTTGTAGTCATTTGTGAAAATGAGGAGCCAGCAATTCTTTTTTTAACCAGCTGACTAACAAGTTAAGCTCATTTATAAAAGTGTGCAGAACTTAGGCCTAAGACCTGTCTTGTGTTGCATTTCTGTCAAATGGGTTAGTAATACTTTCATACAAGTCCGTAGGGATCAGGACACCTGAGTGACAGGTTATATATAAACAAGTGCGACATTTGTTACATAGTTGTTTCCTTTTAAAACCAATTTGTAGTTTTTCCCTATTGTTGTAGTAGATTGTGAAACTAAAAAAAAATGGTGCTTAATCATCATTAATCACTTTTGAAAATGGGAGGAGGTACATAAATATGCATATAGTCTTGATCGTGTCTTCTGTTGCATTTGCTTTTTTCAATGTAATAAGTTTGTTTTGGTTTTCTGTTTTATAGAACCAAGTAAATTTTCACAAACCCTGAATGGAATTCCTTCTTCAAACACAGTCAGCAGTGGAATGGACCCCTTCCACGCTTGCAGTATTCTTCAGCAACTTAAAACAATGTATGATGAAGGACAGTTGACAGATATTGTAGTGGAGGTGGATCATGGGAAAACATTCTCCTGTCATAGGAATGTTCTTGCTGCAATCAGTCCTTATTTCAGGTACAGATATGGAGTTCCTTGTGCTAGTAGTTATTGAATGAAAAATGACAGCAAATTACTTCTGTTGCTTAATACTTTAATTATGAGTAATTAAAAATTCTTATATCCATCTGCAACTTTATTTCCTGTAACTGATGACGGTGACATTACAGATTTAGTAAGCAGCAGAATTAGCAGCACCTGCTTATTGAATCAAAATTGCCTTGAATATGATTTCCCTTTCATGTAGTTAAAAAAGCTATACTGAGCACCCCTGACGTCAGGCTATCATAATTCAAAACTGACTTCCTTTTTAGGTCGCACATTTTAACATAGTACCTTGCAGTACATCAGATATTGAGATTCCATGTTGAGCGTGCATATTGGCAATTTCAGGGGTGGGGGTGAGAGTCTACCTATATGAAATTTGAGCAGGCTTGATATAGGTTCATTAGTGAGAGTTAAATATGGAATGCCAGTCTCCTATTTTTGAGTTGCTAAGAGCAGAACTGTACTGTAGGTAGCTGACCATGACATTCTGATGTCCAGTAGTATACAAGTGATATTGTAGCCACAATGGTCTGGAAATTATGCTAAAGGCAAAAATTGCTTAGACAGTTAGACAAGCGTTCCGATGCAAGGCAGACTTCATCACGTCTCTGATCACAGGAATCCAGATGAAGACTGTCTTGCATTTGAACGCTTGTCTAACTTTATCCCAACCACATAGTTGGTCTAATAAAAGAGATCACCCTAAGAAATTCTTGTCTCTCTATTACAGTGTCAGCGAAGATTATAAGTGCCCTGTTAGTATGACATGCATGTCATGATTAAGTATAATATTGTCTGTTTTTTTTTTTTAGACCTGTAGCTGAAAGGGATTTGAAAATAAATTGCCAAATCTTTCTTTTGCAGATCTATGTTCACTAGTGGCCTTACAGAGAGTACACAGAAAGAAGTTCGTATAGTTGGTGTTGAAGCAGAGTCGATGCATTTAGTACTGAACTATGCATATACCTCGAGAGTAATGCTGACAGAGGCCAATGTTCAAGCTTTGTTTACTGCAGCTAGTATCTTCCAGATCCCTTCCATACAAGATCAGTGTGCTAAATATATGATAAGTCATTTGGACCCACAAAACTCTATTGGAGTGTTTATCTTTGCTGATCATTATGGTCATCAAGAACTCAAACACAGATCGCAAGACTACATTCGTAAAAAGTTTCTGAGTGTCACCAAAGAGCAAGAGTTTCTCCAGCTGAGAAAAGACCAACTGATAAGTATACTGGACAGTGATGACTTAAATGTAGACAAAGAAGAGCATGTTTATGACAGCATTATAAGGTGGTTTGAACATGAGCGAAATAAAAGAGAAGTGCACCTTCCAGAAATATTTGCCAAATGCATCCGTATGCCTCTGTTGGACGAGACATTTTTAGAGAAAATCCCTCCCATGTTTGCACAGGCTATAGCCAAAAGCTGTGTACAGAAGGGACAACCTAGTGCCAATGGCTACACACAACGGCTTGGAATGACTGCATCTGAAATGATCATATGCTTTGATGCTGCCCACAAACACTCAGGAAAGAAGCAAACAGTGCCTTGTTTAGATTCGGTCACAGGGAGAGTGTTTAAACTATGCAAACCACCAAATGACATGAGGGAGGTTGGAATTCTTGTATCACCTGATAATGATATTTACATTGCAGGGGGTTACAGGCCAAGCAGCAGTGAGATCTCCATAGACCACAGAGCAGAGAGTGACTTTTGGATGTATGATCACTCTGGCAATAGATGGATACCTAAACCTCCTTTGTTGCGAGCCAGAATAGGCTGCAAGTTGGTTCATTGCTGTGGTAAACTGTATGCAATAGGTGGTTGTGTTTATGAAGGAGATGGGCGAAACTCGCTAAAGTCTGTGGAATGTTATGACAGCAGAGAGAACTGTTGGACAGCTGTCTGTCCAATGCCTGTAGCAATGGAATTTCATAGCGCTGTGGAGTATAAAGATAACATCTATGTTTTACAGGGTAAGGTGCCATAGCAGTGTAAGTGATATCGTGTTTTCAATAGGAACTGGAGGTTTCCAGTCCCAGTATCTCCATTCCCTTGAGCACCATGGAAAGTTCTCATTTCTTACTTTATTTAGGGATTGAAAAAGAGAAACTTAGTGGGGGCAATGGAGAAGAATCCACGTAAAATGTGTATATATAGTGTTATTTCAAAATGTATCTCTAGGCAAATGTGTTTTTATGTGCCACAACATGAATCCATTTTGAAAAGAGAAGGTCATGTGTATGAACTGAATCCTTCTAGAACTTAAAGATAAGCATACATTTTCCCGTGGCTTATATGCAAACATTTTTTTCAGGCTTAATACTATGAGACAGTGTCACTAATTTTTACTTTGCAGATTCAGACAAAAATCAGTCTTGCTTCACTTCTTCTGAGCAAAATAATAGTAGAATATTGATGGTAAAGTCTGTTTGCTAAAATTTCATCATCTTACCCAAACATTTTAACTGTTTCAAATTTTAATTAAGCTAAATTTTGTCTGTTGAACAAGGACTTCTTTGCAATACATTCTTCTTTTTTTAAATCACTCTTTTCCCCCCAACTTGCTAACTGGTATAATTAAGTTAATGGAAAATTAAGTGGTGGATAATGACTCCTTCCAAAACTGGCTAATTCTGTTCCTTTGAGTCAGCAAGTTAGACTAAAAATTTTCCTGCACTGTTCATCTTCTTTCTTTTACTTCCTTCTCACATAAAATGAACACTCAGTTTTCACTATGAATATATCCATGTCCTGCATCTCAGCTCCCATGTGATCTAGCTGAAACAGAGATTTGGGATTAATATTGATATCTCCATCAGAGAGACCATTGCACCAGAATAGACAATGGTGACTGGAATAAACATGTAGATGTCTTAAGAAAGATATCAGTAGTGTATAGCTCTACATTTCCATGGAGGAAAAGTACATAGTAGATCCTCCTTATCAGAACCTAGTGGGACCATCCCTTGTTTATGTATGTGAAATGTCCAGATATGTAAGACATCTATAATATACAATAGCACTAAAAAAAGCAAGTGGAATGTAAAAAAAGAAGCATGCACTGCAGTCCAGAAAACAAATTGCGATGTAATGACAGAATCTAGTATAAGAAGCACAAGTATTTGCTTTTTGTGCAATTCTAGTGACCAAGCTGGGAGTTCATTTAGTCTGAGTGTTTATATAAGCAGGATTCAGATAAGCAAAAATCTGCTGTATTTTCCCTTCTGGTGTCTTAGTCTGGATATTGTGTATTATGGGGATAGCCATATAAAAATTACTCAACTAGTCTACAAATTATATGCAAGTGGGTAAAGGGTTAAAGGACAAATCATTCTTTTTTTTAGGAAAACACCAACAGGTGGGCCTTGAAATGGGCCAGCATAGGTAGAGAAATTTGACAGATCTAGAAGCACCTGTAAAGGCCTGGTTATCAGTGGGCCCTCTGCTGGCGGTTATTTCTAACTTGTAGGGGCAGGCACATGGAAGAACTTGGAGGAAACTATTTGTAGGCATGCAAAGAAACAGTGCAATGCTCCCCCTCTCACCATGCACTTACACCCCACAATGGAAGTGTTAGACTCCTGTGAGATCTGCTTTTCCCTCTTGTATTTCCTTTGCTAGTTTTTCCCTACTCACTTTATAGAGAAATAACGTGTAGTTTGAAGTGGTTCTCGACTATCAGCGGAATCTCTAAATATGTCTGCTTTTTACTTGGTTTAAGTTAAATGACTATTTCACAGTGTCATATTGAATGAAGTGTCAGTAGTAGATTTGATGTAGTTAAAATATCCCATTATATTTTCACTGAGCTACTTAAAAATTGCAAGCATCTTGTTAAAAGCTTGTAATGCAGTCTGCCGTACTTAACTATACCTGAAATAATCCATTAAGAAAATTCACTATAGAAGTTTTATGGTCAAATGGACCATATGTCTATAAACTTCATGATCAGAATATTGCTTTTTTTAGTTTACAGGAGGCATAAATGCACCTGTAACCGTTGAGGTTTTGGTTTGTTTTATGGATGAACTTAGTAATTGCACAAATAAGGAAATGTATCCAGTCCCCCGTGCTTTGCATTATGAAAATATTGTTTTCTCTGCAGAATCTCATGAGTAGAGGAATATGCTTGAGTTTCATTGAAATATTAGTGTAAAGAATTTTAGTCTTCAAGATTTATTAGATAGAAAGAAGCACCACAGTATTTGTTGTAATTCTTTCCAGAGATGTGGGTTTTCCAGAAAACTTTGAATTGGAAAATTTTCCAGTGCCCTAAATAGAATGTGATCTGATTTAGCATGTTTATTTGACTTGTATTTAGTAAACAAAACTAAAAAAGTACCCCCACATAAATTTAATGTCCCAATAGCCATAAATATTTTAACTGAAATATTTGATTAGGAAAAAAATTAAATACAGCACACTTAATATGGTTTAAATGTTATATTTAAACAAATTCAAAGCCTTATGTGGAAAGAAATAATTTTTATTGGAATACTTGTAAAAAATGTAAAGACAATGCACAATAGCATGTACTTCCCTTATACTTTTTTTTCAATTTAAGAAAAAAATGAAGGCACTGAAAACTGCTGACACACTAATTTTAGTACACCTAAAGAACTGTGCATGATATGCTGTGCTTTGATTTTGATTTGACCTGCACAACTAATTAGGTGAATTCATAACTTGGTTTTTGGTTTGGATTATTATGTGAGTGTATTTACCATCATTTTTACAAATCAGTAAAACATATATGTACTCTCTTACGCACTTCCTAGGGATAATCACTTGAAAAACATTAATTACAACTTTGTCAGGCTTACCTAATATTGTATTGGCATCCATTTGTTGTTACTAATGAATTTTATGAAACAATGAATTTTTAAAAATGGAAAATTCCCACAGAAAAATAAAGCACTGGAAAACTTTCCAGAAATTTTTGAATCCCACATCTCTGATTCTTCTAAGTAGTTCTGTGTGCTTGTCAAAAATGTACAATTGTCCCACTCAAGTACAAAAGACCCCATAGAACTGAAGCATGTGTGAGGCCTGATGTTATTCTTAACACCAACTGAAATACAAATGTAATATCAAGAGATGTTAAATGGAGGCAAAATTTAACAGTGGAGAAAGCAGTAATTACTCATCTCGCTCGTCTTTTAAACTAAACTCCACCCCTTTTGTTCTCTCCTACCATTCTTTCTTTCTTTCCTCATTCCTTGTTTTAATTGGGCTAGAAGAGTACTTATCTGTAATGTGGTTTGGCAGGTGTACTTAAAACATATATGAAAGGTATAATTTGAAGTACCTTCTTGTGCATGGGAAAAAGTAGCCTTTCCAAATATGTGGGAGTGTTGAGATGGCGGGTTGTTTTTAATCTGCGTTATACTTACCTAGTTAGAATAGCATCATCTTATTTCCATGCATCTGAGCTTCTGCCATCCTTAGCCTGTGGATTCTAATCTCTACTCAGTATATACAGTTTCATACTATTTAGCCATGAAAATAGTGAATTAGCAGGTTCACACAAGGATCCATTTGGAATGTCTTTAAATGGATCAACATGTGATTTGTGAAGCTGTTTCTTTGCTAGCACTCACCACATACCGTTTCCAAATCTGTACGTAGTGTAATTCACACAAATACTTGCTCAGGTTTCAAGCAATTTATTCTAAGAACTGTAGATTATTAGTATTAATTTTACCAAGAGGTCAAGGAACCAGATTAATGCTTCAAGCGCTTTAAAGTCTTGCAAAGGTTTGACCCCAGATTCTCAAGCATTGGTTAAAAGTGGTGGGTTGCACATAAAGCCTTTCAATGTTGGCAGCCTTCAAACACTCCATTTCAGCCTAGAGAGAAGCTCTTTAGGGATTTATGCTCTATCGGCTGTTAACACTCTTAAGAAACTAGGTATAAAGTTTGCTTTTTTGGGAGCAATGTATGTAAATGGTTAGAGGGAGAGAACAGAAAAAAAGTTCTGATTTTAGTCTGGGACCCACTTGGATTTGTGTTCAGTGTCTAAAAAAAATTGTAACTTCAATATTCTTATACTTTTTGGGTTCTTTCCTTTTTAGGAGAATTTTTCCTCTGCTATGATCCTCAGAAAGATTACTGGGGCTTTTTAACCCCAATGACTGTGCCTAGAATCCAAGGCTTGGCAGCTGTATACCATGACTCCATCTACTACATAGCTGGAACCTGTGGAAATCATCAGCGTATGTTTACCGTAGAGGCCTATGATATTGAACAAAATAAGTGGACTCGAAAAAAAGACTTCCCATGTGATCAGTCTATTAATCCATACATTAAACTTGTGCTTCTCAAAAATAAACTCCATTTGTTTGTCAGAGCTACTCAAGTCACTGTTGAAGAACACGTTTTCAGAACCAGCAGGAAGAATTCACTATATCAATACGATGAGGTTACTGACCAGTGGCAGAAGGTATACGAGACTCCAGATAGGCTCTGGGATTTAGGCCGGCATTTTGAATGTGTTGTTGCTAAATTGTATCCACAGTGTCTTCAGAAAGTTATTTAATGTTATTTGGTAACAGGCCTTAGTGATTTCAGTGGTATCTGATGCTAGAGAAAACATGTCTTAAAA